CCTTCCCTTCCCTTCCCTTCCCTTCTCCTGGCTAGGATGTCTTCTCTAGGATGTCCTACCCAGCTGTCAGCCCCAGAGATGCTCCTGGTACTGGAGAGCTTTGCAGCTTTCCCCAGAACAGCTTTACCCTTTCAATCCCTTCCCCTTGCAGGTGTCCACTGGTTAATCATGTCCTTCTGGCTGGTGGCCCAGCAGACGGACATCGTGGCCCAGCCCTGCCGCTGGAGGCTGTTCAATTGCCTGGTGGGAGCCGTCTACATCTTCTGCTACATTAATGTCCGGCCTGGTCCCTCCAAGCACAGGGTGGCCGTGTTCTATGCAGTAAGTACCCAGGATATTTGGTTTTGCAGTTGCTGGAGAGTAGCAATAGCTCCAGACTCTCCTTTCCCATCTCTCGCATCACCATTTGATAAAACTTCAGCATTTCCCAGGTCCTGATGAAACCACGTGTTCACCAAGGTGGATGCTTTGTTTTCTCAGCAGCAGCCATAAAATGTCTTAATAACCTGAGAGCGGCTGTGATCCTCTGCCAAGAGTTATTTTTCATGGTCGGACACAAAAAAAACCCAAAGGTAGACTCTCCTTTCCCATCTCTCGCATCACCATTTGATAAAACTTCAGCATTTCCCAGGTCCTGATGAAACCACGTGTTCACCAAGGTGGATGCTTTGTTTTCTCAGCAGCAGCCATAAAATGTCTTAATAACCTGAGAGCGGCTGTGATCCTCTGCCAAGAGTTATTTTTCATGGTCGGACACAAAAAAAACCCAAAGGTCGAGACCTTGCAGAAAGTTGGGTTCAGCAACCTTTATGTTTTAAGTCAGAACGTAGGTGCAAAATAAATCAGCAAAATCTAGAAACTGCATGTTTGCTGTCATCGGAAGCACATCTAAAGCCATCCGAAGGATAAAGTGACAACTCTTCCCTCTGCTCTGCAGATAATGCTGATGGAAAATACCCTCCTGCTGCTGCTGGCCACCCAGTTCCTGCAGGCAGAGCTGAGGAACAGCCTGGCCGTGACCGGGGCCGTCATGTCGGGGTCTGTAATAGGTAAGATCTGCTGCTTTTTAGAGCCTGGATTGCATGTTTTTAGAGCAAATGAGCATCGTCATGAGTTGTTTCAGTTGCATCAGACTATTTACTTTATTTCTTCCAGCTGATGTGATCTATGAGCCTTCACTGGGTATATTTTGGAAATACGCTGGTGTGAGACTATGCTTCTGTAAATAGAAAAGCTTTTTGTCTTCATGGGGAGGATTTTTTGGTATGTGATGGAGAAGGTACTCCATACCTTGCCCATAAAGCAGGCAGCAGCTACAGACAGCTGCTGCATTTAATTCCCTAAAGCTTTAATGCACAACTCAGCTAAAGGAGGGGAGAGGTTGGATGATGCTTGCAAACAACCCTCTGTCATCTGTGGTTCCAAAACTGGTGCTGGCCAAGGATGGGAGTTGCTGTTTGCTGGGTGAGGTCCCCCCCAGGCTCATGTTTTCCCCAGACTGGCTGCACGCAGATCAACCGTGTTCAAGAAGAAGCATGTTTGGGCTGGAAAAACAGCAGTTTCTCTGGCCTTGAACAAATTTAGAATAGAAGTAGGAAGGTGCCTTAAAATCCTGCTGCATTTCAGCCTGGAGAAGATAAGGCTCTGGGGAGACCTTAGAGCAGCTTCCAGTGCTGAAAGGGGGCTACAGGAGAGATGGGGGGCTCTGGATCAGGGGGTGGAGGGACAGGATGAGGGGGAACAGTTTTAACCTGAAAGAGGGGAGCTGGCGATGAGATGTGAGGAAGAAATGT